CTCTTTAATTTTTCTTCCTTTTTTTTCTAACGACAAAACAAAACAAGACAGTAGTGAGACACTAATTCCCAATGTTGACTTTGCACATTGAATGTACACTTCTAAAACTGAAGCTACCTCAATGAAGGTGAGCAAGAATGCTAATCCGTCTCTTCCTGTTATTGATCTCCAGTCAGACAGATATATTACCCTGTTTTGTCTGCAAAACTAAACAGGCATATGGGAAGAAAGTGTGTACAAGCATAGAAGCAGCAACAGAAGTCACACTCAGGAAGCTGGCTGAAAAAAAATAAAAAATGCTCCCTTTTATTTGAAAATGTAACTCATCCACCATCTTACCAGCATGCCCCGCGAGTTACCTTCAGTGAGGATTTATGCACAGAACATGAAATGGGCTTTCAAGCACCATTCTTGGACAAAGTGTTGGAGGATCCTCACTCCCTCATCTCTCACCAAAAGGAAGAAAAACAGAATCTCTGACTGGATCCATCATCAGGCTATTAAGAAGCTGAAACCTGTAAGCTCTTGCAAGTCAACTCAAACTACTGCATCCTACAAAGCTTGAAAAAAAACACTTTCTAGACATGAGACATCATCTGCAACTGAGATCTTTGGTTATGAGTTGATGCCACACACTTCCATCATCTGAACCACAGCCACTGAGAACTGAAACCTGGAGCTAGATATCCAGAAGTGTGCATTTCTTTCATACAGTTAGAATTTCATTTCTTAAATCCCTAGTTTCCTTGGTATGAGAAACCAGAAGATGAAGAACCTCGTTAGTCAAAGGTGATGGTAAAATTTTCAAGCGGAGGGAAACAACTGAGATGAGGGAGACTGAAACAATACCAATATAGGGACAGAGCATGATGTGGGAAGAGATCAGAAATTTATTATGTACAAAGGTTAAAGGAAAAGCTTCACAGGTGACTATTCTAAATGGTTCTCATCTAGCAGAAGACACTGAAGAAACATATAAAGTCACGCTCAGTTGGCATGCCAGCTTATGAACATACAGAAAGGTAGATATACACTGTGTGATTTCAAAGCACTGCAAAATGTTTCTATAGACAACCTGCCAACAAGTTAAGAAGGCCAAAGTCAGCATTAGCATCTGTCTTCCAATTACAGAGTCACATATTGCTCAGTGACAAATGATGACTGCTGTCTTATATTAAGATGGTTGCTCTAGCAGATGTTTTCAAATTATCCCAAGCTATGTCACAGGGAAAGGCAAAAGAACTGGAAATACGCCCAGAGAGACCTGGTGCACCAGCAGCCTAAGGGAGACATTTTAAAAGCCATTTGCTATACTCTCATGAAAACTTGGCTACAAAAATGAATACAGAAAGGAAAAGGGGAATATGTTATATTCCTCAGTGGAAGTTTTAAGTTTCTGACTACCGGATCATCTGGAATAAAATGTGCTCACTTCAACTTAACTTGGATAGAGATACCGTCCAGGCCTTCAAAGAAAGGGGGGGGAAAAAAACCAAAACCCAAGCTAAACAACCCAACAATTACCCCAGAAAGCAGTGCTCTATGTTAACTGCTTTGTGATGACAGAGCCAAGGGGAAAAAAACAACCCTTTTTATCATTAACATTTCCAAACATTAATCCAGGTATCACATACTGACTCCAAAAATTAAGTCCTGCTCCCTGGTAAGAAGAGCTACACTGCTTTTACTGCTACAGAACCTCTGGGATACCATATGGAAACTGTCCAAAAAGAGTGCAGACAAATAAAAGAAAGGGAGAGAAAAGCGTGACCACCCTTGTCTGAAATGGATTAAGGAGTAAGGTTCTCTCAGGTCTTATGCGCAGTTAGAGCTAAGAGAGTTCTTCAAGTAAAAAGTCTGATGTGGAAAACAAGTTATCTCCTGAAATCCCACAGTCAAATCAGCTAAGTACAGAAATGCTGAAATACGATGCAGGCGGAAGGGAGGATGCGAGCAGGGACAAACGCAGAGGCTGTGCTCATCCAGTGTAGCCTCATTCTCAATAGCAGCTTTCTGGAAGCATGAGACAACAGTAAAAACACGCCCCAGTAGACAAAATTACCACCAAGAGGAAGGTGCCAACAAATGCTGCTACAAGTTAAGGAATGGGTAGGCGTCTAGTCTTGACCTATGGTGAGGGAGAAAATCCTCTCCCTCTCGTTACCATGGTGATCCCCTTTTCAGGTTTCTTTGGATAAGCTTTGTGCACAAGTGTAAAATTTGGCATAAGAGGAGAACAAGTATTAATTATGTGCCCCGGACAAAAATAGCCTTATTAAATCTCAAGAGATAAGACAACAGAGGCTGTAAAAATTAAGTTTGGTTACAGAGATTAAGGGCTGAATAAACTATCTCATGTTAAAGTGCCTTGAGCTCCATCTTCTTAAAACGGCAATGCCAGCCTGAGGGTGTTACACCTGCCCATTACAATTTGGGTGAGAACTTGAGATCCTGTATGGTATAAGACTGGAGTGAAAATCAAAACAAAAAAAACCCTGCATGGAGGCTGCATACTACTGTTCCTTGGTACAGGATTGCCTTTATTTATTACACCATTTTATTAATTATTCATGCAGTTCTTTTTCTATTTCCAGGCAGCAACATCACTAGCCAAGCTCTACAGGGATGCAGCACTTTTACAGGATGGACACTGCAAAATCTAACACAAACATATTATATTGATACACTTGCAAGCATTAATCCCATGAGACATAGACCAGAATAAGCCTTGAATTGAACAAGTATATTTAACAGTTCTGGTGAAGAAACTTAGAGCAGGAAAAAAAAAAAAAAAAAGAGAGAAAAAAGAAAACTTTAATATAGGAGGGTGTATATACATCTAATTGAACACTACTATAAGCTTTATTTTGAAATCCTTGATTTCAGACCTATTTCATTACCTCTCTAATAAACAGTGTAATTTCCTCCCCAGGATAATTTTTCCCATATGCTTTCATTAATTTATGCTATCTAATCTTAATCTCTGAAATACACAATATCGGATAGACAACCTATACCGAAGACAAGGAACTACACTGTTGCCATTAACATTTTCTATTTTTCCTGTGACTGTTATTATCAGTGATAAATTTATCTTTAAATATGTATCCTTTAGACTTCACTCTGGATCAGTGAACACCGACCAAACCTGAAACATCTTTTAACTGAGGGAAAATACATGAACTGTACACACCGGACCCACATACCAGCAGAAACTAGTGTTGCCTTTTTAAAAGGTGTATTAACATTGAAATACAATCCAACACAACCGGCTGAGCATACGCTATGCCTAACCAGCACACCTACCTTTTATTTGAAAGTAGACTGCGTAAGTTAAACAACTACTTTTTGTTTAAAAAGTAACGAATTTCATATGCTGTCCACTACATATCTCACCATTTTTTGCTTCTGTTACTATTTTTCTTTGGTTGGTTGGTTGTTGGTTTTTTGGGGGGGGGTTATTTTTGTTTGGCGTTTATTTTTTCTTTTTTTGCTTCCTGAATTAACAGTATATATACATATCTATCTGGCAGATGTATAAAGCAACATGAAACGGGATTACCCCAAATCAATCAAGTGCTCCCTGTTAAATACTGATTACTCCGTAATTTCTGTCCAAGATCAAATGAAACCATCAACCCCCTTTGGAAACTAGCGTGGTGTGACAGCTTCATCGCTGGCATCCTGAGCCGGGTTTAGTAACAGCAACAAGAAAGAAGAAGGAAAGCCGCAATTACCTAAAGGACCTAGGCAAATGCCCGGCTTCTCAGCGGAAGGGAGAACGGGACCGTGGGGACGGCGGCCCCGCACCCAGCAGCCGCTCGGCCGCCCGCCCGCACACACACGGCCGCCTGTACGGGAAACGCTGCGCATCGGCGCGGTAGGGGAGGCCTGTGTCTCCCGGGATGCGCCCTAAACCCCGGCGGCCCAGGCGGTCCCCGGGACAACTCGCAGCTAAACGGCTGCACCTGTGCCGCTCCGGGCCCCAGGCAGGCTCAGCCGCCCTACTCGGGGCCCAGCTCCGCAATGCCGCCTTCCTCCCATACCCTCCTGGCTTGAAACGCTTCCCCAGGCACAGCGCCTCCGGGGAAAGTCTGGGCCAGGGTCCTGGCGAGCCCCGCGGGACTTGGCCCGTTCGGTGAGGCTGCCCGGTGCGGTACCTTCTCCCTGTTCCCGGGGATCCCCGCGCCACGCGGGCTTTGCTGGAAGGGGAGATGAAGGGGGCAAACATTCACCCCGCTTCTCTTGTCCTGCCGAGGAGAGACACGGGACGCATTCGCCCTGAACAACAGGCGACATGTAGTTATAGAGCCCGCACAAGGCTGCAGGAACGCGAATCCGCTCCCCAGTCCGGATCGGGGAGCCCGCGGCCGCGGAGCAGGGCCCAGGACTCGCTCGCCTGCTCCTCGGGAAGGGGGCGCCCCCCGGGGCGGAGAAGAAGGATCGCAGTCCTCGGAGGCTGCTGAAACACCGGCGAAGGGGGAGATAAAAGCCCCTACGATGCCAGGCCAGCTAGAAATTATTCATTTCAATGATGCAGCAAACGACGGTGTGCCTGTGTGTGCGCTGGGTGGGGGGGGGGGGGGGTTGGTGGCGTCTAGTCCTCCCGTTGCCACTCTCCAGCCCTGATTAACACTGTACAGGTTCCCTGTCGAAGCGGAACGCTCTTTCTCTTCCGCGCACACAGCAATTAATAGCAACCTTCATCCCGCGAAACCTTCGCCAAGCTCTCCCACATGCTCACAGCCTGCGGTGGCAACTGCTGGGCGCACAATAACGGGAGCCTCTCTGCCTCTCAGGCAGGGGGAAGGGAGCCAAACCTCCCGCGGTAGAACCCGATCCCCGAGGACGAGCAGTCCCGGGAGCCGCGGGGAGCGGCAGCCGCCGACGCGGCGGGAGGGCAGGCTGCCTGCCTGGCAAGCGGAGGGCGTACGGCGCAGCACGCTGCCAAAACACCATCAGCCACCGGCATTGTCAGCAGACAGCACGCAAGCATTTACCTTTTTATGCCCGCTGTCCGTCAGTCAGGCGCTTGAGGGAGAGAAGAAACGACAGGAAAGGAAAGGAGGATAAAGAGAGGAATCTAGAGAGCGAGAGGCGGCTGCTAATCCCCGTGTAGAAAGACTTCCAGCAGCAGCAGCAGCAGCAGCATGCGTGTGTGTGTGTGCCCGGAGTGGAACCGCAGCCCTCCTGGCGATGCACCGGCTCTTGCACCGAAGTACTGTCATGTGCGTATCTCGGTGTGTGTACCCATGGAGCAGGGAACTAAAAAAAAGGAGGAATTACAAAAAAAGGGAGACGGGGGGAGACCAGTCAGTCAGTCAGTCAGTCAGTCAGTCACACGCCCGGCTGTGCGCTGCTGGGGGGAGGAGGAGGAGCCCAGTGCTCCTCAGCCCAACCGCCACTGGAGCCGATCGCTACTACGGCGGCACAAGGGCCCCGCAGAGAGCGGGGTCCGCACGCCTGCCCTTCCCCTCCTGCTAGCGAGGACGTGCCTGAGGGAGAAACCCCTCAGGGCCTCTGCCCCCGGGGTCCCTTTGCACCCCGCGCTGCCCGAGACAAGCGGGAAGCAGTTGGAATAAAAAAACATCCTCCTGTTTCTGCCCTCAAAATACCGCCCGGCGCGTCTCCGCAGCCTCCGCGGGGGACAGGGCTGCGGCACATCCCGAGGGGGAGGCAGGCCGAGCCGTGTCCCCCGGAGGGACAGGGGCTGCCGGCAGCACCGCGGCGGGGGACGCGGCGTGTCCCCGGGGATGCAGCTGCAGCCGGAGGCAGAGAAGTGACGAGCGGATCCCCCTAAAAAGCCCGTGGGTCTGTTCTCGTCCGAGGGGGGTGCCCGGCGGCACGGTTGTGAGTCTGGAGGGGGTTTGCTGGAGCTGCAGATGTAACTGTAAATAGGTGTGTTTGCGGGCACTGGGACTGCTAAGGCGGGGAAAGGTTGTGCTGAGCCATGCCACAGTGCAGATGCCCTGGTACTCGCATGTCCAGTCGGGTACATTCAAATTTCAACGGTGGTATATGACTGACTAAAAGGTATTTAAACCATGGTGATACGTTCTAATCAGTTATTTGCTACATATTAAATATTATATCCAACTCTTGGATATATGGCCACATCTATGCATATAAATGAGATTTTGACATACAAGTCATGAACGTGCTAAAATAGAATGATCAAATTACTGTTATACTGCTAAATTTAACTAGTAGGCTGTGCCAGCAAGTTTCAGGATGTGTTTTCTTTAAGCCCCAAGCCAGCAAAAGTTTGTGAGACATGTCCTTGATATTTTACTCTTTGTACAAAACGCATAATCTCTATGAACCAAAAGTTACTCTTAGTAGTGGAAAAAGGTTTATTAAATGACAAGGATGGAAAAAGCTTTAATGGGGATATCAGGTATACTGTTTATACTAATTTTTTACATGGGCAACGTAAACCTAATGTCTCGAGTAAAACAGGGAGGACAGGAAGTGTTAACATTTTAATGACAAATGCAAGTCGCATCTACAGGCCAGGTAGGCTAGCAAATTCTGATGATTGATAATTGCATTAATTAGCAAGCAACCAATTGTGTGGGAGAAAAAAATGGTCAGTCTGTTTTAAAATAATTGTTGGGAGTTTTTTTCTAGCTGTAAACATAATAAGCAGGGTAGAGAGGAAATAGCTGAAAGGATTGCCCATCTTGTTGAGATTTAGCAGTTCACAATAAAATATTTTGAGACTTCCCAAAAGTCCTGCCATAAAATCAGAAAGACCAAATTTGTTGTACTAAGCTGTATAAATCAAGTCAGCATCACATCATTAAAAATACAAACTGCACCCTAAAGCCATATCATGTTTGTTTTGTTTATATAAATTTTGTGTATATAAAATAAAGGTACACTGTTCAACTGAAACAGAGATGCTGAATCTGAGCTAACTCAGGTAAAAAGCTAAATAGTACAGGACTCTGTTCTTTTTGGTGTTTACATATGCAGCACTATTCTATGCAGCATATTACTTTGTCTCTTAGCAAGAATTTTTCGATTTGTCATCATGAACTGTATTTTCAAGCTAGTTTCAAAGCTGGTGTAATCTGCTGTTTAAAATACGATGATCTGTGAAAACCTCATCATAGAATTTATGTAATCTTTCTGATGTAATTATGTGAAGATTTAGCCTGCCCTCCATAGGCCTATGAAGTCGTAAAGCAGATTTAGTCATTATGATAGTTCTGTGAAAATATTTTTACCGAATAGGTTGATTACATTACTTAGTAGAATAAGATAGTAAAGAAATGATGTAACATGTATTTTTTAGGCTTCATACAAATTTCCAGAATATGAAGTCGACCGAATTTCCTTTGAAGATTGAAGAATAAGAAGGAAAGATGAGACATTTGTGCATAAAATTAGCCAACCTCGAAATAAAATCTAAACCATTTAATCACTTTCTTGCATGCTCCTTGTTTGTCTGACTTCAGTCTGACTGGGCCGGGAGGGTAAAAGAGGGAAGTCTTGTTATAAATTCTCTCCTCAGCTGATCTGGAGGAAACTGCATCTTGGAGGAATAAGAAATTCAAGCTGCTTTACATGATGACATAGATGGTCTTTGTGGGCCATAAGTATTTTGATTTTAGGCTTAACACTTATCTGTAATGGTAGTACTAGTACTTGTGGGTGTTTCAGAAGACATGCAACTTGGAGACGAGATTTCCAGGGTGGAAGCAAATATTCTTCATGGGTTCTGTGAGAGATGGCACAATCAAAACTTAGAAGAGGCCGTGAAGCAGGGGATTTCAGTAAGGACAGTAAACAGATGCAGGTGAACCCGAAATAAAGAACATGGCAAAGCCTGGAAGAAAAGCGCTCCTAAATAGGTTTTAGATCAGAAAAGTAGGAATCAGAAAGGAACATTTTAAACAGTGGAGATGAGGTTCAGTACTAAAATTTTCAACTATCTGCAATTTATCAAATTACCCCCAATGCAAATGTCCTTATTATATGCTATCCTCACACTTTGGTCTCTTTCTTGTTGGAGGAAGTTCTCTTTGCTTTGACTGATGGTGAAAGAGGTTATGATATCGTCTGTCATTACTATATAATTAAACTATATGCATGCTTACATGAGCTTCTAACACATGCTGGTATTTACCACCTTGCGACCTTTATTTAAGTTTGAAAATCGGTTAGTTTTGTGTCTCACTGCCCTCTACTGGAGAGCAGGTCAGAACTGCTCCATGAGGTCTTAGTTAAGTACTTAAGAGCCACGACAGTTGGTGGTTGTCCTCAATTGCTGGTGAATCTCCTTTCTATGAATGAAGTTTACAAGTGTGAAGGTGTGGAAGGCCAGCGTCCATAAGATTTCTTTTTTCTCTGGGAATTCAAATAATTGATCATACAATCTGCTGTCTGCAGTTTATTGACCCAGGCAAATGGATGACTGAGCAATGGTTAAGATTTTAAAGATATATATGTCTTCCACTAACTTCTGGGGAAGAGGTATCGCAGATATGCTGAAAATCTTGAGCAGTGCTGCTTTGATAGTATTTGACTGTAACTTTGTAGATAACCTCATCAAGTTTCATATCTAAATCCTTTGGTTCATTCTCCGTTGCAATACAACAAGATTTCCCTCCATCCCTTTTCCTACTCTGGCCTTTCATGCCTCTCTACTTACCTTTCACTGTCTATATCAATACTGCCAGACTATCATATATTTGCTGTTTTATTTTCATTTTCCTCACAATCTGGGCAGTAGCAGAGCAACTGAAACATGGAGAACACAGCAGTGATATTTCCCAGTTCCCCCATGTGCCATATCCTCCACCTACTGCCACAACTCATGCACATCGAGAGCAGTTTCCGTTGGAGCACAGTGAATTTTCCAGCTGGGCGGGCACACATGTTGCCAAGGCACACTGAGAGCTGGGGATAATGAGGCCTGATCAGAATGTGCACTAAAGAAAGTTTCGGTATCTAACTCAAAATAAGCCTTCTACGCTGTAGGTGCTAGTAGTTTCTATGCTAATTTTTAACTACGCATCTAGGTGATATTTACTCTTGTAAAATGAGTGCTCTTCTTGTTCACTTGTGGCATCAGCTAGTGCTTCAAGATAGCATTCTGAGTGTGACTGTAAGGGTATCTTCAGCATGGCCAAAAGAATAGCTTTGGTGGCTTCTACCCTTAATCTGATTAATGGAAGAGCCATTTAAGCTGTGCTTTCTCCTCCCCCTCAGAGTACCCTGAAGCAGACATCTGCCAATAAAATGTTATTTAAAATATTTCAGCTTACCTAATACTATAAATGTCTTTCACTGAAAAGGGTTAGTGTCCACCACAGCCATTGGAGGTCTGTTTGTAGTATTTTACTGTGTTGTACCGAAGGCAGTAATGTCCTAGGTGGATGAATTGTGTGGGTTGCCTCATTTCATGTTGCCTAATTATTTGCTATAAAAAGCACAGCAGCAAATTCCATTCCCTGGCCTAATGGATAACATGGAGGAATTAATAGGGCCTGGAGTGGAGTTGTTCCCAGTGAGTAACTCCTAAATGACAGAGGTATGCCAAGGAAAATGTAAACAGGCTCACCTTGTATAACCGCATTGGCTATTGACTGGTCACTTAAAGATGGATGATAAGAATGCCTGGAGAGCCACCGGTTACTCATCCAGAAAAATTGGAAAAGAGTAGCAAGTAATCCAAATACAGTGTCAGTCCAGAATAACTACTTACTACAGAGAAAAAAAAAACCTTCAAGATTATCATGGGTTTACAATTAAAACATACTCTTCTATAATTTGTAAGTAAAATAAGTACTTTGTTAAAGGTTATTCTTGTGACCTTTAGGCTATCAAACACAATTCCACAAAACTTGTGAATTTCAACCTGTATCAGGAAATAAGTCAGAAGTCTTGGGAGGCTTCTCAAAGGGGACTCTGTTTTGGAAGCTGTAAAATATAAGATTTGAGAATGACATCTTTCCTCCCACATGCCAAATCTTTGTTTCGTATTAGAAACAAGCAAGTTGCTGTGATTTTTAGGTACCAGGATGTATTTCTCTGGTATCAACAGCAGTATTCTGGATAAGCATAGAGAGAGAGGAGGAAAAAAATACTTCAAAACAATAAACCAATGAAATTCCTTCAGTAGAATGAGAATACTTTTCCAGACATTGAGATACAGCAAAGCCCTGAACAAAGTGCAAATCAGTTTGTAAACATCTGCATCAAGTACATTCAATTTGTTAAGTAAGGAGGGTTATAATAACTTAGGATATCACATTTTTTAAATACGAGCATATAGTTTTAAAGTGGAGTGCAATACAACCATG